CAGGCTGATCACAAACTTGCAGCAACCTTCCTACCTAAACCTGCCAAGTACAGGGATTACAGATCCACATATAGGTCAGTCTCTTAATGACATTTAATAACACCGCTTCTATCTTATATCCAGTGGACCACCTGAGGCTTTCGCATGCCCTCTCTTTGGGAACTAAGTGAGCCAAGTCTTTCCCATGAATAATCAACCATATGTGAAAAGGAACACAGAACCTAGCAAAAGATACTCTCAATGCTTCCACTCAGAGAAATATATCAGCTCCAATCATTCCATCATTCAAAGCAAGTCTCATGGTCCTGTCTAATTTTAAAGTGAGTGAAGTGATTTTATCACATACCCCAAAGCAGGAGAGGCAGAATATCTGAGACAGCCTCATCTGACAGTTATTATAACCCTGCCAAAAACAATGAGAAACTGATGCAGCTGATACTTTGCTTGTGAGGGCTACACATCAAATATGGCACCCAATGCAAAGTATGATTCCATAATTCCACTGAAATTCACCAGTCTCCAGACTCTCTGCCCCTGAGTCGATTGAGTATTGGCAAAATGACTTGACTCTTCCAGAAAGTCTTACAATGAATATTTCCTCAACAGTATTAGGAAGAAGTCCTTCAACTAAAATGTCAGTTCTCATTTTCTGGACTCTTGAATATCTCCAACTTCCAATTATTTAATATTCAAAATAATTCCTTGGTCCTTTCCAAGACAGAAAAATAATAGTTGAAAGTTAACTGAGATATTTTTTTCTAATTAATGTCTATAGAAATTTACTTGCCACATTGAGAAAAACATATATTTTTTAAAAAATCACTTTTTCTACTATTAAAAAGAGCATTTAAATCATGGTCTATTTAAGTTTCTAAAATTACTTTCCTGCATTTTTTTAAAAAAGCAAACAATCAAAATAGAACTCACAAATGATGTTCCACGCTCTTTTCATTTGAAAAGCTATTAAAAAGAATGAACTTGGCTTTACTTAACATATTCCATTTACTTATTAGTTACTTAACATAATTTCACCTTATTGGAATGGTCAAACATAATCAAGGAATTTACGCTAAGGCTCCCATTTAAAAGTTACATCTTTAAATCATGAGTAATAAAACTCTCAGTGCTACAAATCAAAATTATAAACCATCTTCAATTTTTCTATAAAAGAAAGATTTTCAAAATTAGCCAGTACATGCACTCTGAATCTACAGAAAATCCTTCATATTTCACCTTAAATTTTAACTAAAGTTAGTGTTTAGCATGTAGTTATGAAACTACTTTCTTCCATCCATATACAGCATATTCTACAATTTAACCTAAGAAAAACAATGCAGCAATTAAAAAAATAATGCTTTCTCAGTCAAATGGAAGTTGGTTTTATTTAATGCAAGATTATTTTCAGTCTGGGTGTCTTCACTATTGATAAAATAGACTGTGGATGGGCTCTTCTAGCTGGAGGGACCATATGCATAAGAAACTGCTTGCAGTGAAGATGACATATGTCATCCCATGTGCCAAATACTATCCTAGATCTGGAAGTGACAATTTTCTCATATATACTGGCACTTGAAGCTCTGCAGTTATGGATTTAGTCTCTCCATAAGAGCTCAAATGATATTATGTGTGTTTATGAAATGCTTCATGGGTGATTTCTCTGGCAATTATCTATATTAGCTGTATTTTCCATTTCTTATCTGATACCCTTTAATAGTGATGATTGTGACTGACCTGTTTCCATTGTTTATCTCAAATGTTGGACATAGGCTTCAATCTTCTATAGTCTTCAGGTTTTCAAGGAACATGAAAGCATACATTGTTTGTTCTCCAAACATAAATGAATTTTGCTCTTTTATAATAAAACTTGCTTTAATTCTCTGGAAAATGGGACTTGTCTATTGCCTTTGTATATATCTTACCATTCTTTGTTAATATTTCATTTATTATTTTTATTTTATGTGTGTGTGTATTGCCTGCATATCAGTAAGTGCACCTGTGTCATGCAGTGCCCAGGGAGGTCAGAAGAGGACGTTGAACTCCTCTGGAATTGGAGTTATGGACAGTTGTTAGCTGCCATGTGGGTACTGGGAATCAAACCTGGCTTCTCTACAAGAGCAGCCAGTGCTCTTAACGGCTGAGCCATCTCTCCAGCCCCATATCTTACCATTCTAGTCAATTGACACATGTAAAAAGATATGCCAATAACTAAATGCTCTAGTTATTAATGAACTTATTCATCAAAATATTTGTTTTTTAAACAGCAGCTACTTCTATAGTTTATGACAGTTTATATAAAATGAAATGCTTTCCAACATTTTGAGGATTTCTGCGAAGTTTTAGTTGACTGATTTTTATTGCAGGATTTCATATGGAAATAATTCAGTTTATGCTGATTCCTCTCTGATTCTCTTCTATATCATTTACGCTTTGAAAAAACTTTAAGATTCACTCATCACTATTTCGAGTGGAATATTACCAAGTACATTTCCTTCATCCATGAGCTTTACCCCAGATCATAACTTGCCTCACTGTCTAGATCTAGGAGTTTCTATGTGAGTCTTTTTCTGCTCTGAAGGCAACAGAGCAAGGTAGAGCAAACAACACTTCTCTGTGCCAACTCTTCCCCTCAGGAGTTACAAAGAACTGCAGTGTGGGAGGTAGAGACATCAGCAGGACAATAAAGGTAACTTTTTAACTGCTAGAGGTGAAAGAGGAAGCTAAGCCCCTCAGAATGCATATTCGCTGGGCCTTGTTCAGTCCCTGCCCCACTCTCATCCTCTAACCTCAGTCAAAACACAGAAACCCTTGCCCATCTTATTCCCAGGCTTTCACTTGCTCACTTCTATCCAGGGTGCTTTTCTTCTTCTTTGAATTTCACAACAGAAGAACGCAGGCCTGTCTGCACATTTCGCTCAATTGAAAAGCATTTTTAAAATCTCAGTACTCGGGCTTTACACAGAAATGATCGCTTTTGTTTTGCGAACCTAGAAATAGTTTTTGTTTGTTTAAAACTTCCCAGGTGATCTTAAAGTTTAACAAGATCTTGAGGCTGAAGAGATGGCTCAGTGGTTAAGAGCACTGGTTGCTCTTGCAGAGGACCCAGGTTTGATTCCCAGCATCCACACGGCAGCTAACAACCATCCATAACTCCAGTTCCAGGGGATCTGATGTCCTTTTCTGACCTCTGGGGGCATTGCATGACATGAGTGTACCTACCTACGTGAAGGCAATACACGCATACACATAAAATAAAAATAATAAATAAAAATGTTATTTTAAAAGTTTAGCAAGTTCTGTGTATCCCTATCTAGAAGAGGCTCCTTGGCATGTCCACACCACTTTCCAAATGACAATGGAAATATCTTGGAGGTACAGTGGGATAAACATGAAAAGCTGATGGACTGCTGAGATGCGGCAGGGGTTGGAGGAGATGAAAACAGTGAGACACTCCAGTCTGAACAGATCCCAGCCACCTATATAGCCAGTAAAGCTTATGGTATTCCTATTTTGAGACTTCTTCAAGTTCATCTATCTGTAGCAATAATCAGGGGACTTCTACATTTTGATCATGAACAATTATTTATACTCCAAGTGCCCTCCAGGTTTGTTCTATTTGGAGATGTGCACTGGAATGACTTACATGCACACATTTTTCAAATGTCCATGGACTGTCTATAAAATGAAAAGTGTGCATTTATGAGGCAAGCACCATGTGTCCCTCCTATTTCCTGGCCTGAAGATGAGCCCATTGGACATTTACAAGGAGTACCAGTTGATTTCAGGCACACAGAGGATGATGGAGTCCAAGAGGGCCTGACTACTGTTAGAGCAGAAAGTACACATTGGAGTTGTCTGTCTGCTTGAGGCTGGTTTTGCAAGCATACAAAATGAAAGAGCTATATGGTCATACAGGCTTCCAACCAGAAGTCAAAAAAGAGACCTGTGAAGTCAGGCAATGTGTGGCAATCTCTACAAGCAGCCCCCGAGAGGATAGAGGTGGTGAGAGTGTATCCTGAGATACAAAGGGGACCAAAGGAAGTTAAAGATGCCATGAACATGGAAGATCTGCCGTGGAGAGCTTCAGGAAGCATGGGGATCCAGCTGAGGAAAGAAGCTATGCAGGGTGCAGCTGGCAAGGCCATAGGGACCTTTGGAACTTATGTCATAATACCAGGTGTTCCAGATGCCAGCCATGGAATGAAAGGTTTAATGCATTCCCTGATAACTTTTGGTCTTTCTTTGGTCATATGCTTTCTTTCTCTGCCCTTCTCCCTCCCTTTTGGAAGGAGAATGTTTATTCTGTGCCATTATATGTTTACTGCTTGTCTCTTTCTTTGTAAATTTCATGGAAGCTCTCAACTAAGGATTTTCCTTAGGTGTTCATGAAAGACTTTGGACTTCTGAGCATGTTGGAATTGTTAAGATTATGAGGGTGCTTGAAGATGAACTGAATACATTTTACATTATGGGATGGACATGAGCCCTTTGGAACGAAAGAGAAAAGAAACTGGCTGGATCACTTATATCCTAATCAACTCTCATCATATAAGAAATGGAGTAAGGAAATAGAAAGCCCAACATTAAGAGTTCAGATGTCAGCATGTCACCCTGCAGTCTGAACTGACAGATCGCTTTAGAAAGAATCAGTGGCAGATTGTCCTGGATTTAAATAAATTGCTTTGTGGAGAGTGGATACAACACATGCTCACATGTGAGCACGCCAGGCAGCACAGCAAGCTGTGCGGAGCTTAAGGCAAGAAAGAAGGTCATATCTCTCTCATCTCTCTTTCCCTTGACCAATACAAACAGCAATGTGTTTTAATAAACCATATTGCATCCTCATACATGGTTTAGAAGGTAACAACCCAACAGTTTAAGTTGACGCAAAACATTTGGGAACTAAAATCGTTCTGACTTTACCTCACAATTTATTTTCTTCTTTTTATCTTTTATTCTTCTTTTTTAATCTGCTTTTTTTTACTGTTCTGTTCTTATTTCAGTGAGATTTGCAAACTTTGTGTAACAGTGATGGTATCAGCAAAAACGTAAGACTGGGAATTCAAAAGGTAATACTTTCTTTCATCAAAGAATATTTGACAGTGGGAAGCATGCTCATCCTTATTTTCTATAATAAATTCAAATCCTGGTGTCCAGGTAATATTTGTACTTGGTATCCTAATTCCTAAGAGCTGGCACTAGCTAGTGAAAGTTCACATAGAGAATGTTACTGACTTGGTGAAGGCAGCATCACCTTTCAGGTTCCTTGCTTCAAATGTTATACAGTTTATTGAAAGTTGAGGTTGCCGTGAGTCTTGTTCAATCAGAGTATTGATCCAAGGAATTGATCTTCCTTGCTTGCTAATGTTGGCCCTTGCCCTGTTTTCTCTAATGGAACTAATGTGGCACACGTTGAAATTACTGGTGTACTATATGATAGATATAGAAAAATTGGTTGCTCAGCTACAAAAATACAGGCCTCCATATAGGAAAGCAGTTGGGTACTCCACAGGGTAGCACAAGGGTCAGATACAAGGTCATCCCAAGCAAAACAACAAGATGAGTATGTGAGTAGTAGTCTGCATCCTGGCTTAGGCCACACTTCTTGAGCTACTTGGAACCCAAGGAGAGCAGCAATATATAAACCCTTTCCCAACCTGAAGGAACCCAAGTTGCAAGAAAAGCAAAATTGGATCTGCAGCTTCCAAGACATGAGAGGCCAATTTAGGAGGATGGGAGCAGTCTTAAAAAGCAAGAGCTGAGTATTCAACAGATGTTTATTCTCTGCACTTTAACTAGTTGTGAGTTTCTACATTAATCACCACCCACTGCACAAAGTAATTTTGATGCGGTCTGAGAGGTAGCTAATTTATGGATATAGAGATATGAATTTAGAAAGCAGTTTTATACTAACTCCTTTTAGCAAAATAATAAAATAGGTTCATCCCTGGGGTCTGTGAAGTCCCTAACCATAGGTTCTTGACCACATTTACAATGCCAGGAATGAGTTTCCTTTCGTGGAGCAGGCCCTAAAGCCAATCAGGAAGTAGTTGGTTATTCCTGAAGTACTTGTGCCACTATTGCACCCTTGGGCATGTCTTGCCACTCCAGTCACTATTGTAGCTTGCAGGTTTCATAGTTAGTCAGGAATATTAATGACTTTTCTTCATATTGGTCAGTAGCAACTTGATTTCTCCACGTCATATTGCCAAAGTATGTGGTGTCTTCAGAAATAGGGTCTTAACATCAAGTTCTGGCAGGTAACCAAGAGCATGGACAATAGCCTATATTTTGGGGGGGTGGGGAGAGCATCTCCAGGACACCCTTGACCAAGAACTTAAGGTCAGGTATCCCACACCTGACCCTGGGCTTTTATTTGGTAATCTGATTTTTGAGAGAAGCATTATCGCTTGTGTAGAAAAAGGCCAATTAAACTCTTTTATATGAATATGAATGTATATTAAGCTTATAAAATAGTAAATTTCCATATGACTTTTTCAAACAGCCTTAATGGCTCGGGGACAATTGTGGAAGAGGGAGCAGAAAGACAGTAAGAGCCAGAGGTCAGGGACAACTGAAGCAAAAGAGTGCCTTCAGAACATGACAGAACTATTGCACTTATAAATTCATAGCAGCTGTGTTTGCCTGTACAAGACCTGCACAAAATCAAGCCAGTCAACATTCTAACAGGGGCAGGGGTTCAGAACCTTCTGTTCCTAGCTAAGGAGCTATTGACAGTTGATAGTTTCTGAGAGAGGGAGAATCAGGGTTTTTTTTTCAGGATGTAGCCCCTAATAGTTAGACTGCACCCCGAATGGAGGCCCCACACCCAAGAGTATATGGGCAGCACAAACTGGACTCTGTGGCTTATAAAACAAAGAGGATACAAAGTTTGGAGGAGGTGGAAAGATAGGCATTGAATCTGGGAGGACTCATGAGGATGAATGAGAGGTAAATATGATCAAAATACATTGTATGTCTTATAAAATTCTCAAAGAATTAATCAAAATATTGTATTTCATTGATAAGCAAGAGCTGCCATGATTATCCCAAACTTTCCCTGATTTCACCTGAAAAATACAAAACTATTTTCTAGAATTCTACTCAATTGTTACAAAGCTCTATTTGATATTTTTTACAGAAATAATTTTTTGTTATCACATAAAGAAAGGAGCCCAGGGCAGAGATGGTATAAGGTGGCAGCGCCATTCTGAGTAATAATCAGAAATGTGTGGTGAGGAATACAAGTTCATTGGGAGAAAGAAAGTGGAAAAAGATCTTACAGAAAGTGGAAAGATGATCTCAAACAAAGCCTGACTGTTCCAGAAGGCTTCCAATGTCTATATCTGAAAAATTCCACAGAAAACCCTCTGTTCATGGCGAGTTGTAGAGCATGGTTTTCTCTGCACTCTGAAGAGAAGGTAAATTAGAAAGAATGCTGGGTTTATAACATATCAGAATTATCCACTGCAAGAACAGCTCAATTTTACAGAAAAAGGAGCCAGTGAATCACAGAGCTCCCAATGCTGGCTTTTTTTACTCTAACCGGGTAGCTTAACCCCCTTTACTTGCCCTGGTCAGAACCTTACTATTGATATGTCTAGAGTGCACTAAAACAAAATGGAAACACAAAAATTTGCCTTTGGGGCCCCTGGCAATAAGTGGCAAAGAAGTTTAATTTCAGAGGAGCCATTACAACTAACAATGCACTGGGGACAGAGGAGAAACTAGGCCCATTTGTGCAAGGAGACAGATACAGAAATGTTCATTAAAACATTGCCTATTACAACTCAGAATTGGAAACAAACTAAATGTCCATCAAGTGGCTGAGTGCATTGCATGAATATTCAACAGAACATGATATAGGAGTTGAAATAAATAAACTTGAGCCATGTGTCCCAAAATCATAATATGGAGAAAAAAAGGCAGTTACAGAATTGTGCTTCATAAAATGCCACTTGAGTAAAATGGCAGTATTTTATTATGAGTATTTCTATTGGAGTATTTTATTTATGGAAATGTGTGTTTGATAATTATAAAACGCATGCATGAAGATGATAAATAAAAAATTAAAGGCGCTGCCTGTCTTGGGAGGGCTGGAAGGTGTATACAAAGAGAGAGAAGGGAGTAAGCAGGTGGCAAGAATTGTTTCTGCAGGGTTTCCTTCCTTTGAGATCATTGAAGCGGGTTTGGGAAAATGTCAGCATTTGATTGAACTTGTCAGTGAACAGATATCCCCTGTTATTTTCTGTAGTGTTCTGCATAGAAGCACTAGGAAATAGTGCATGTGGGAGAAGGTGGTGACGACTGCCATGGAACAGAGCAACAGACTTTTTAAAATGGAGCAACAGGAAAGACGACAAGGATATTTCTGATCATCTAAGATTCTGCTTCTGGGTTTAGCAATTAGTCCTGGTAAAGAGGGCCTTTTTTTAGAAAACCAGACTAGAAGAATCATATTACCATAATAAAAGGTCACATTATTCTCTTAACTATGGCATCGTAAAGTGCATTTTAACACAAGGAAACAATGACAACAAAAATACATCAAAAATGAGATCCTTTTCATAGAGCAATAAAGCTGGAAGGATGTATAAGAGTTAGATGCTGCAAGGGCAGATTGATCAAAGTGGTTCAGATTAGAAGGGAACAATATTTCAGAAAAGAGATATGAACTTAGAGGAGGGTGAATACGTGGCTGAACTCTTAGAAAAATAAACGTGGAGAGAAATGAAATAGCAGTGTAGACGTTTTGCCTTTCTAGGACAAACAAAGGAAAAAGGAAGAAAACAAAAGCCACGAAAATAGGACGGTACTTAGGAGGTTAAGGAAATCATGTTCCAGTTTCCCTTAACGACTGCATCCTGCCTGCATCCCTCCTGCTGGACTTGGCTGGGCTTCTCTGTTCCATGCTATTTTACAAAAAGCAGGGAAAGGCAGTCATAATTCTTCCGAACACGGAAGCTCATGCTCATAGTGGCTCCACCTGGCAGGGAGGTTGGAGAAACTCTTAGCAGCCCTGTGTGAGCAAACAAGTCAAGGCCAGAAGACATAAGAGAAACTAGGTCCCGGCTGTGGATCCAGCTCACCAGCTCTGCCTTCAGCCTTCCTCCTGGGAAGAACTCATCAGACATGAGTGTGGGTCACTCTCCCGGCATCCTGTGTAAATCAGCCCTTGACTGGAAGGGGAAATCCAGAGCAGAACATGAGCCTTCCTACAAGAACTCACACCAGTACACACAAGCACACTCAGACTCGCACAGAATCAATAGAGAGGAGCCGAGCCATCAGGAGAGAACTCTCCTCACTTGCTCATCTTCCACCAGAGAGGGTTCTGTGCGAGTTCTTACTGGTTCCTTCTCTACCCACTGGATTCCTATGGTTCTTTTCCTAAATAGCATAGAACAGAGTATTATGAGAGAAGTCGCAGACATCCATTTCTTTCTATCACTTGCCATGTGACTTGAAGGTTCCCAAAGCTGAGGGATTTTATCAAAGTGCTACAGGAAGTTCATAGTGAGTGTCTTGTTAGCTGTTCCCTTTATATAGTGCTACTACAAAAATAACATGGGTCTTTTTCTAGCACAAATTGATACCTGATTGTCTATTTTTAAGTAAATTTAGGTAACTAAACAAAACAGAATTAAGGATTTTTGCTTGCTTGCTTGCTTCCTTATTGAATTGGCAACAAATCTGGATATGTTTTTTATGTTTGTTCTGGTGAACAAACATCATGGCACAGCAAAAAAACAAAAGGAATTTTCCAAAACATAAATTTTCTATCAAATATATTTTGTAAATTTAAAAAGCCTTCCTGTAATTGCATTCAACAAAGCCCACATGTTATCATTCAGGGAAGGCCAACGTAACTGGTGTTGAATAAAACAGTGTGCTTACTCTGTGCTTCTAACAGAAGATACGATACATGTGCCCTGAGAATCTTTAAAAGAATAGAAGGCTTGAGTTAGGTGCTATTCTATTCCATCATTTATTTACCAGTGGTTCTCAATGCTGGCTATACACACAAATCACCTAAAGAGCTTTTAAAATATTCTGATATC